AACGTAACGCATCGCAAAATGTCGAAAAATGGTGGCAAATAAAAGCAAAAATGTTTTTCTCTCGCAGTAAACAAACAAGTTTAGATTATAGTCAACACCATTTATGGTATTATTAATCAATAACGAAAAGTACACAATGTATAATTTATATATTGTATATTCCATACTCTATTGACACATGAGCGTGTATATACAAAGTCCTTTGTGGAAGAATTTCATTATTTTTCTCATATAAAAAACTGAATCCTCGCTAACTTGCAGCGCGTTTTACATCGATTTTTTTTGTGATTGTTTTTGCGTTAACGTTACATAAATCCTCTATGTCTCATCGCACGCTGAGACTTAATATTTAATTACTGACGCGTCTATCTTGCCTCGATAAAACAATCGTACGCATTTGTACGCGCTGCCTGACACTCATCATCATTTACACGTATAATAACAATACATATCACATTGATGAAAAAAATCGTTCGTCTTCTTTTTGTATTTGTTTCCATAGTCTTAAGAGTCGTGTAGAAAAGAAACGAATTTTTTTATCAACCTAATATGATGCTTAATAACTAAATAATATGATTTTCTTTCGACACCTTTCTTTCGATATTTAAATAAAAAAATAACAATTAAATTTTTTTTTCCAGACAGATAAATTGATGAAAATTACCTTCTTCTCTCATCAATCTTCTTTCTTCCTAAAAAAAAGTAATACGTTTCATTTTCTTTCAATATCTTTTCTTACGTAATATGTAGATCTTAATCGAGAGGTTGATCGACGCCAGTTTGCACGTTGTCTGTAATCATATATATGTATATATGATAAAAACAGACATCAATTTCACAATTGTAAGTTCTCAGTCAAGAATTTAAAAATTCTACGAAGCAAGAATCCATAGACAGAAATTAAAATTAAAATTTGCGATTTAACTTTAAATCTCAAAAATTTTTCAAACTAAATTTTCCTACGCTATTACAACTTATATTTAAAAATGTAGAAAAAGGAGTAAAAATAGAGTGATTATATATTAATCTGTTATCATCGAGATTCAGCAAACGGCAGCAGCTTCTTTGGACATTTAGACGAGAAAATATTTCATCTGCATAGATTATCTCTCTCTCTCTCTCTCTCTCTCTCTCTCTCTCTCTCTCTCTCTCCTCATATTTTTCTTACGTATATATGAATTATCAACACACAAGTTTCCAAGTCAATAATTTCTATTTTTCTGAATTCTTACTTCGTTTTTAAATTCTTGGTCTTTTTAAGTTTTTGGATATTTCGAATTTTTAATTCAATAAATTTTTAAATCCTTGAATTCTCAAGTTCATATATACGAACTGAAGAATATCAATGTTAAAATTTAAAAATATAACGGCTAAGTAAAATATAATTTAAAAATAGGATATTCAAAAATTTTAATTTGAGAATTTCCACGTATACACACACGCGCGCGCGCGCGCGCAGACATACATGCACACACCTTAGAACTTTCAATTTTTCAGAGTATCGCTTTAAATTCTTCAACAGCCCAAGTCCTTAAATTATATTCTATTTAACCATTGTTCGTTTTACACGCACTGCATATTTCGATTCCTAGAATTTCAAAGTCCTATCATTCAATATTCCATTACAATATCTAAGTGTATTTACAATACGTCTTACCCTTTAAGTTGTATCTAGATTTTTGAATTTGCAAATCCATAAATTTTTAGTTAAGCTTACATCCATAGATCGCTAGCCTTCTAAATCCTTTAATTTTTGAGCCTTTGAATCACGTAAAATCTCCATTCTTAAATTTTTAAAAATGTTGACCTCTTTAATATGTTCTACGTGTTCTATAAATATCCTGAATATTAAAAGGAATCTATAAAAAAAAAAATAAAATATTGACAATTCAAGGATCCAAGTTCACAAAGTTCCAATCTGTTTCTGCTGTATATTCGTATCTCTTGTAAAGATTAATTTTTAAATAATATTATTTACAATATATATCCATGTTTTAAACTATGATTGTTGGAGTCTTTTATTCTTAAAAAACAAAGTTTTTAGATCCTTGAATTTTCAGATTATTGGATTTGCGCGTGTCGGCTCTTTTAATCATTTAGTGTTGGCATTTCTCTCTTGACTTTTCGGATCCGATAATCTTATCTTTACAAGTACTCTTTTATGAAATTGAACGTACGCCTCTTAAAAGTCAAGGATTTGGATAGAAAAAACTTAAGACCTACGGGCTGGATGGATCTCTTACAAGGATTTAAAAATACAAAAATCTAAAAATTCGAGAATGTAGATCTCCAGAATATTTTTCTTCCTCATGCGCGTTTCACATCCAGACAATGGTATTTGTACGTAATATTATTTACAGTTTGTCTATTTTGCAGATGGCTAAATTCTTGGATTCTTAAATCCTTGGATTTTTAGATCAGCTGAATCTTTGAACTTACAGAACTGTGGACTTTTGCATTCCTGAAAAAGCCGAAACCCATAGTTCTTTCGTAATACGAAACGCCGTTTTGAAAAAAATTTCAATATACGCATCCAAGGACCTAAGACGCTCTAGACGCACAAGACTGCGCCTTCCTTTTTGCAGCTTCATGACTGTCTCTAAAGGGGATGGACATTATTTACACAGCATACACATTCACGCGATATGTTACAATCTCTTCTTCGGCAGCGAGCCGAAGGCCGATAAAACGGTGGGTTTGGCGCTAGTACCGGACGACGTGAGAGTTGTCAGGGTAGGTTGTGTGAGAAGTACCGTGGGTTTGGCGGTCACAGCAGCGGCAGCGGCAGCCGCGACAGCGGCGGCGGCAGCGGCACCGCTGGTCGCCACTTGGTCCCACTTACTTTTCCGTTTTTTGGCATTGTCGGCGCTGCTGGAGGAGCTGTTGGGTCGCTTCGCGGTGCCGGATACAATCTCGATTTCGATCTTCTTCTCTTTCCGCGCCTTCTCCAGCTTGTCCATCTCCGTCTTCTGTACTACGGCAAGTTCCTCGTAATACGAGTCCTTGCTCCACTTGAACGGGTCGAACCTGTCCGGCGGGTAGTTGGTGCCCAGCTCGTTAATGCTACAAAACTGAATGAGTTTTTCGTAAATGGAGGGATTCCGGAACTCCTTGCGTTGCTGAATCATCATGTTCATGTCCAGCCCACCGCTCTCCATTTTCCTATAGAGCCTCGCGATCTTGTCCTGCAGCTCGGCGGGACATTGGCCAGGCGGTTCCGGTGGTATCGTCACCCCGTAAGGGTCCCCCGCCTCACCGCCATTATCTGAAAGCACGTCTCCGGAACGCGAGGAGGGCGACCGACGCTCAGCGCCACCGCTGACGGCGACGGCGACGGCGGCAGCAGCGGCAGCGGCGGCGACGGTGGTGGCAACGACCGTGCCAGTAGCGACCGCGACCGGGAGACCGTTCTCCTCGGGGCGTTCCGCGACCGTCGCGACGCGTGCCGCGCCCGTCGTCATCAACGATGACGACAACGACGACGACGACACCGTTGGCAACGACGACGGCGGCGGCGGCGGCGGCAGCGGCGGCGCAGTTACGGCCGCCCCCTCATCGTCGGAGACTACCGCATCGTCAAAGTAAGAGACCAATCGCTGCACCTTTGTAGCCGCTTCCGGCAAGTCCCTACTACCGGAGGACTTGCCGTCAACGGGACTATGCGAGGCTGAACGGCCTCCAGATATGGGACTGGTGCCAGATCGGGCCTGGGGCTGACGACCGACTTGGGCATTATGCGGGGCGGCCCTCTGGGGAGTGTTCGAATTCTCCTCCTGTAGGCGCTCGTCTTCCACCCCGTCCTCGCCCTCCGAGTCGGTATAGGTGGCCGTGAGAGATGCCAGAGCAACACTTTGTACAGACATGGTTAGTTGGCTTTGAGTGCCCGCCGTGCTACCAAGCGATATTTTGTGTGGGAACTCACCGGTCTGGCGCTGCGCGGCCTGGCCCAGCGCCCACAGCTCGTGAGCCACGCGAGGGCTTTAGGCGCGGGGACAGGGAGGCTTTAATCGGCCTGCGGGGCGCGTTGAGCTTTGGTCGCTTTTAGTACGAACCTGAAAGACAGAACAAGCTTAGTTTTCGTGAATAGATTTATCTACTCTCGTCTCGTTACACCCGCACTTGTTGCATTACGTAAAAAATATACACCATCACGCTCTAAACGATATCTCATGCATTTTTATGAAAAACTTGTAATCTTAACTCGCGCGCTCGTGTTGATCGTTTTTAACGCACAAACTCTAAACCTTTGCCTTTTAAATTTTGCAATATTCACGAACCGCGACGCCGTCAAACTTACGAAACGTACTCCAAAATTTTGTCACGCGCGATCGACGTTTATTCAAGTCAACGAGCGATCAACTGTCGACAACGTTAACAGAGAAGTAAGAGCGGCGTTTAAAGCGCGCGCGAACACGTCAGGATCATGTGTTCTTATCGTTCTTATCCGTTCATTTGAGGTCAAGCTAACGCGAGCGAGATGCAGGTTAGGATTCAACCGAGTAACGATACGTCGGCTGTCGGCGACGGGGAAGCTTCACTAACCTCAAACTTTCAACGTCCACGGTCACCCGGTTCAGCCTGAACCCGCTCGTCCGCACATTGCGATCACGTCTTAACACGGTCGTACAGATAAATATTCGACAGAGCGAGCGTATTCCGCCATCGGTGTGCGTTCCTTCCCGATGTACCTCTTA